GGTACGTCGCACCGCTCTCCCAAGCAGCGGTCTGACCATCGCGGGCGAGACCTGGGTCGAGTGAATATCAAAACCTTTTTCATCACGGAGCACCGCGAAGGAAGGCATAGACCAAGAAACACGCTCAAGAGACTTCCTCATCGCACTGATCGGGCCCGCGGCACTTCTCCAGAGGCCCGAGGGCCTCGAAAACACAGCATTCCAAGCCGAACGAAGCGTGGCGAACGGGAGGGCGCGGGGGTAAAGCCGATGGTGAGTGGTCCAAACCTCTTTGGCCCAGCGGTAGATAGGAGCGATGGCGGCGACCCGCGGCGGGTCGTCGTGGCACAGCATGAGCGCGGTGAGCGACCGACCTCCAGCATTGGGCTTCAGGGCCTTCCCAGCCAACTGCCTGAGGGAGAGGAGCTCGTGGTCCGTGACCCCCGAGATCTCGCACCCATACACGGCCTCAGGGAGAGGACCCGCGACGAAAACAGTGCGGCATCGCTTGCCCGAAATGGTGGGTCCCATTCGAACTAACCGGGCCGTCCTATCTTTCGCCCTCCTAAACCTTTCCTTAGCCTTGGAGCTCCCCCCTCGAACCCTGGGCGGTCTCCCAGCGCAAAAGTCAACTCCCAAATTGGTCGCCGAATCGGAGTCCATGATAGGCCCCGCAAGGCCCCCGAGAGCCCGAGAGATGGCTTTGCCCAAGGGGCGCGAGGAACAGACTAAAGACATCTTTTCCTTACTGATGACAGCGCCCACTCCGTGGACGAGGGCGTCGTGCAAGTCAGCCGCGGCCTGGGGTAGCCGCTTTAAAACTTGTTTAAAGGACCCCGTGGCAGACAGGCCTCCATCGTCGATGTAGAGTTTGAACTGGACGGCCTGAGGGAGGCGGAGGGCGTCCAAATCTTGAATAGCATTAACCCTAATGGAGGTAGTGGCCAGGGAGCACCCCGCCACCACACCCGCCAGGGCCCAGTAGGGCCCATCCACAAATCCTCCCAAGGAAAGGAACCTGGCCTGGGAATACATGGCAATGCACAGGTACGAGACACCAACAGGGAGACCAACTTGGTGGGCACGGAGAGCCAGGACCTGGAGATCCAGGGTCTCGTAGTACTTATACAAGTCAGTTAACAGAGTGGCACATCCCTTCCCTTGAGTGGTGTTGGCCTCGGCATGGCAGGCTTGGCGCCAGACGACGTCCTGCGCACCTTCAAACGGGCCAGCACAGAAATATTCTCTCGAAAATCTAGCTTCCCACTCATCGGCGAGACTTCGGCGGAGCTTGCCGTAAACTCTAAACACACTGCAGAAGATGCCGATAGGACAGAACCCAGACGACGGTTTAGCAATCAAAGCCATGATGATGATGGAGATTTGCATAGGGATGACGGCCGACCTCTCCATCAAACCTAAGATGTCGCACAGGAGGCTGAGAGTGGCATCAGACATCATCGCGAAATGCTGCATATGAAATCAATCAACCGAAACAGTCGTGCGTTCGCGAAACCCCTTGGAGACAGCACGGATATCTTCGGGCTCAAACTCGGGCAAGGCAGGGGACACGACACCCTTGGGAAGCCACGGGCGGGCCTTGCCTTTCCCCCAAAGGCTCGAGAACCGCTGGCTCTCGGCACGAAGTAGGGACAAGGGGTCAGCAAACACAACACCGTCACTGGCCAAGGTTGTGGTAGGCCTCCAGGGGGTGGCCCCCTTCGAAACCATATGAATCTCCCTCGCCCCTTGATCCGCCTTCTCTAACAGCCAGTCTCTCCATTCAGCCGAGGCCGCCTTCCTGGCGTCGCTCTCGACTTCCTGCATGCGGTCATTAAACGTATTGCGCCAGCAGACAAAATCACGAGAAATGACAGCAAAGCGCGCTCCTGGGTCTGCCGCATCTCCAGGTGCGACATCAAGACGTCGACGTTTCAGCAAAATCCCCTGATGAGATGTCTGCTCGTGCACCTCCAGCGCATCGAGCATGACGCCCCCGACCTCGACGAGGTACGGGAGCAGGCGGGGGCTGGCATCCAGGCCGCTGGCTATGGCCCCGACTTGGGTGTGCAGAACATGAAGCACAGACGCAACACCTGCGCGATCTCTGGCCTCCCAGTGGAGCCCGAGCCTCAGCGCCTGAGAGTTAAGCCACCTATGAGCAAATAAGACGGGCTGCTTAGGGCTCTGGGTGTCGGGGGCCAGGATGCTCTTCCATCTGAGGGCAGGGGCCTTCCCACGGGACCCACGGAAGGGGAGCTTGGTGCCAGTGGCCATCGCCACTTCACCCTCGGCCTGGTCCGCCCAAAGCCGATACAACTGGTCAACCGAATCCTGGATGGCGTCGAAATCCCCCCTGTCCACCGCATTTCGAGCTTCGTCCAGCACGCGGACAACGGCAGGGCGCTCAGCGGGGAAGGGGTCCAGTTTGCAGACGGGGGGGAGCGGAGAGGAGGGCAGCTTAGGGGGGTTACGAAAGCTAAGGGCTTGCAACTTACTCAGGAGGGGGTGGAGGGTCAAGTGCACAGGCGAGTGGGGGGATAAATCACTGTCCTGCCGCACCGACACCCTAGCAACCCCTTTGCTGAGCCCAGGCGAAACAAAGAAATAGTCATACACCTTAGGACCCGCGACCGAATTGCAAGTGGTGTCACCTGGTATCATCCACTGCCCAAGCGAGTCCCCGAGGTGCGACTGAACGACGACCGACGGGATCATGTTGAAGTCCCCTCCTATGATGACTGGGTACCCCATGGAGCCAATCATCGAGCCTGTCCGAGAGAGGAGGTCCAGGTTCTCATCCGATAAATCTTCACAATCTCTAAGATAGAAGGGACACGCACAGAATCTGCGTGCCGTCGGGGAGGTCGACCACTCCCGCAATAGCACGGTGCTTGGCAACCTCCATGCCACTCTGCAGTGCGTGGAGGCCAAGACCAGAACGAACAAAGATGGCAACGCCAGCGGAGGGCCCTCCGTGTGGTCCTTTGCCAGCAGGCAAGAACAGTGACTTCCATCCATGTCTTGGGCTCCAAGAGGATGCTGAGGCGAGCTGGTCGTCAAAGATGTGCTCTTGCAGCAGCACGATGTGTGCAGGCGTCCGCTGCAGCCAGCGCTGTGCAGAGCCCCACCCAGAGACGTTGCAGGTTTCCACGACGGGCTGGAAAGCGTCGAGGGGGAACTGATCAGGACCCATGGGCTCGAGGAGGGGGGTCCCAGAGTGCTTACCACCATGAGGCTGCCTAGGGCCCGTGAGGTCCCTCACCCTAGACGCGCAAACAGACAAATCCATGGCGGGAGCAGAAACGCAAGCTTCCTGAGCAGTTAAAAACTTAGAAACAACTCTGACCCCTTGGATGAGCTTATCCCAGGCTCCCGAGAGGGCTCTCGCAGGGTCCGAAGAGTTCCCGACGAGAAAGGAGGAGGAGGAGGAGGAGGAGGAGGAGGCGGGGGCGGGGGAGCAGCAGCAGCCCCCGCCGCTCGCTCTTGGCCCCCTCCCCTCCCGTCCCCATGAAGTCCCAGGAATGGTGTTCTGGCACAGCTCAGGATTTTCCGTCGGGTGCTTTCCAACGGGGCCCTTCCCTCAGTGGAAGAAGCCTGGCGAAGGACCCAACCACATGCAGGTGTGAGTGCCGTAGTTGTGAGGATCGTCCTCGGTGACGCTCACTTTAGGGCCACGAAACGGATGAGAGATAAGCCGAAGTAGGGGTGGAACCGCATGCGGACCCTGCCACTGGGGCCCTCGGCGGAGCTCCCTGTAGGGCAACGAAGCGCGTAAGGGGTGTACCGAAATGGATGTGGAACAGCCCTGCCACTGCGGCCTTCGGTGGAGCTCCCCACGGAGCCAAGAAACGTGTGAGGGGATGTCGAACTTCTGGGTGGAACCGCATGCGAACCCTGCCACTGGGGCCCTTGGTAGAGATCCCTATGGGGCCGCGAAACGTGTGAGGGGTGTGCGGACATTCGGGGGAGCCGCATGCGAACCCTGCCACTGTGGCCTTCGGCGGAGCCCCCCGTGGCCACGAAACGTGTGAGGGCTGCGCCGAAGTGGGGGTGGAACCGCATGCGAGCCATGCCACTGTGGCCTTCGGCGGAGCTCCCCATGTGGCCACGAAACGTGTGAAAGGTGTGCCGAAGTTGAGGTGGAACCGCATGCGAACCCTGCCACTGGAGACCTCGGTGGAGCTCCCCATGGGGCCACGAAACGTGTGAGGGGCGTGCCGAAACTGAACTGGAACCGCATGCGAACCCTGCCACTGTGGCCTTCGGCGGAGCTCCCTGTGGGGGCACGAAACGTGTGAGTGGTGTGCCGAAGTGGATGTGGAACTGCATGCGAACACTGACACTGTGGCCTTCGGCGGAGCTCCCTATATGGCCACGAAGCGTGTGAGGGGTGTGCCGACATCGGGGTGGAACCGCAAGCGAACCCTGCCTCTGTGGCCGCCGGTGGAGGCTCCCTATGGGGCCACGAAGCATGTAAGCGGTGCAAGTGATGGGAGGAGGAGAGAGGAGGAAGGTGAGGAGAGGTGAGGTGAGGACGCGGGACGCTGTCTCTTCAAAGCGAGGACCCAGCACCACAGGATGGTTTGGAAAAAGCGTCCTTGCAGGGGCCAGCGCAGAGGGAGCTCAGAGCGAGGGGTTATTGCAATACCTCTGATGGGTCTTGTCCTCCTCCTCCTCCCCGCCCTCCTCCTCGCCCTCCTCGTCCTCCCTCCTCCTCCTCCTCCTCCTCCTCCTCCTCCTCCTCCTCGCCTTCCTCCTCGCCTTCCTTCCCCTCCTCCTCGCCCTCCTCGGCCTCTTCGCCCTCCTCGCCCTGCTCGCCCTCCTCGCCCTCCTCGCCCTCCTCGCCCTCCTCCTCCTCCTGCCCCTCCTCCTCGCCCTCCTCGCCCTCCTCGCCCTCCTCGCCCTCCTCGCCCTCCTCCTCCTCCTGCCCCTCCTCCTCGCCCTCCTCGCCCTCCTCGCCCTCCTCCCCTTTTCGCAGGCGCCGCGCGCCGCGCGCCGCGCACATGCGCGCGCGCCCCTCACCCCGCGCCGGCAGCCCGCTCCAGCAGGCCGCGCAACGCCGCCTTGAACGCCCCGGTGCCGGTCGGGATTGGTGGGCCCCTTTTCCCCCGCCACCACCAGCCAGAAGTAGGAGGGGGAAGGGCTTCTCCTCCTCCTCCTCCTCCTCCTCCTCTCCTCTCCCTCCTCCTCCTCCCTCCTGCTCCTCTGTCTCCTCCTCCTCCTCCTCCTCCCTCCTCCTCCTCCTCCCAACACCACCACCACCACACCACCACCACCACCGCCACCGCCACCGCCACCGCCACCGCCACCGCCACGCCACCGCCACCGCCACCGCCACCGCCACCGCCACCGCCACCGCCACCGCCGACCACGCCACCGCCCACCGCACCGCCACCACCACCACCACCACACCACCACCACCACCACCACAACACCACCACCACACACCACCACCACCACCACCACCACCACACCACCACCACCACCACCACCCCACCACCCACCACCCCACCACCACCACCACACCCCACCACCACCACCACCACCACCACACCACCACCACACCACCACCACCACCACCACCACCACCACCACCAACCAACACACCACCACCACACACCCACCACAACCACCACCACCACCACCACCACCACCACCACCACCACCACCACCACCACCACCACCACCACCACCACCACCCACCTCCTTCCACCCTCCAACTTATGGTGGTGGTGGTGGAAAACAGGCCCATCAGGGATGCCGTGCCGTCCGGGGTGCCCGTCGGCGCCACCGTCGACTCGGAGGATCGGGCGGGTGGCATGATCGGGCGGGTGACATCCAAGACATGATCGCGGCGCCAGAAACATCTGGACGGGAAATTTTTGGCCAACTTCGGCCTCGGGGGGCCCTCGCCGGCCTCGGGACCGTCAACGAAACGACTCGGGATGAAAAACCTGGCCCGGGGAAAGGGTCGGGACTTCCAGGGGACCTGCGCGTGTTGAAAGAATCAGGACGTCGCATGTCTGGGAATGGGGGGTGACCTAAATGGGGGGTGAAGGACAGGGCCCTAAAGGGGCCCCTCAGCAGGGGCCCAAAAGGGCCCTACACGGCCCCTTTCAAGCCCATTTTTCTCCAGCCCCCATTAGGTCACCCCCCATTACCATCCGCCCGAGAGGAGAACAAAATCCCCATACCGCCCCCGCCCGTTTCCCCTTTTTCGCCCCCCTTGGAGGCCCTCGTCAGCACCGCCGGAACCGCCTCGTGATGCTGGGCAGAACGCACCCCAGCGAGAGGTCCGGGGAGTCGCAGTACAGTCGGGGCGTTGATCTAAGGAACCCTAAATAAGGAACGAGGCCACTTTTTTCCATAAGTTAACCGTCGATTTCCTGTCGAAAACATAAGGAAAGCCTGAGGCAAGCTGTGAAACACTTAAGGAACGCGGAGCCCCTCCCCAACGAAAAGGGTTCCTTTGTTCAGGGCCCCGACTGTATCAGCACTTTGGGTTTCCCCATCGATGGGCACTCCGCCGAGGCTCCACGAGGCTCGAGGTTCGAGGCTCGAGGCTCGAGCTTCGAGGCTTGCGAGGGTCGGGATTGGCTCTCTGGACGTTCTGGGTCGTCCGCTCAGGACGGCACAACCTACCCTTAAGTCGGGCCTGTCCTCCTACAGGGGGATTTTGGATGAATTCGCCGGCCCAACGGGCCAGAGGCGTGCTAAGATCTCCGGTGACTGCTTTACAATCTTTCTACTTCGCGCGCGCGGGGCGGCCCCTGGGGGCCCCCGGGCGGAAAGTACCCCGGCAAGGTCCCGAGAGAGTCCCGGGAGGAGTCACCAGGGCGCTCCAGCAGCGCACCAACGCGGCTCCGAGACGTCCCCGAGAGCCCCAAGAAGGGCCAAGAGGCTTCCAAGAGGCCCCCAAGATGCTACATGAGGGGTCCGAGATGCCACAAGATCGCTCCAAGACGCCCACGATGGCCCCCAGACGCCCCAAGAGGCCTCCAAGAGCACTCCCGAGAGGGCCCCAAGAGGCAAAATTCACTGCTTTTCCTTTAGGTTTTGGAGAGATTTTGGCGTTTCCACCTTTTCGGCTTCACGACACCCCAAGACGGCCCAAGAGGCCCCCAAGACCGCCCCAAGAGGGCCCAAGAGGCCCCCAAGAGGGCCCCAAGACGGCCCAAGAGGGCTCCAAGACGGCCCAAGAGGCCTCCAAGACGGCCCAAGAGGGCCCCAAGAACGCCCCAAGAGGGACCCCAGGGGGGGAACACGAAACAATATTTCGAGCCCTCGGCCCTCAGAAGTCCCCAGGAGGCCCCAAGAGGCCCCTAAGAGGCCCCAAGAGGCCCCCAACAGGCCCTCAGGAGGCCCCCAAGAGGCCCCCAAGCGGCCCCAGGAGGCCACCCAAATGCCCCCCCGAGCACGCAAGCAAGTGCCCGCGACGCTACACTATGGGCCGGCGGAATGAGCGAAGCGATTCAATAATAAAAATACTTAATCAATACTCCCAACATGCTCAAACATAGTCAAACAAATAGTCCCCAGACCACTTCTTGACTTTTTTTTGAGATCCCCCCCGTAGAAGGACAAGCCCGACTTAAACCTACCCCATCCCCCATCCAGGACCTCCACTCCCAAGCTGGTGATCCAGGGGGTCCTAGCCGGGGGTGCGAGTGCTTTCTTTGGCCTCCAGCAGCCAGGACCCTCTGGAATACCGGCTCGGCAGGGGGGGCCCTGGGTGGGGGTGGGGGTGGGCTGTGCTGTCCTCGACGGCTGGATCTGACCCGAAATTCACGTCAGAACGCACCCCAGGAGAGGTCCAAGTACTGGTGTTTCGCCTCTGATCAAGGGCAACGACGCAGGGGTGACCAGCTCGGGGAGCGCGAATCGGCGATACATTGCCGACGGGGCCACGATAGGCGCTAGGACCCCGCTATAGCGAAACCTCACGGTCCTGGGCGGTGCGGGATATCGGGCCCCTGTCAGCGAAGCAGGCGCAATCAGGGATCAATTAACATTTTCAATCCGGGCGCCTTCTTTGGCGACGCGCACAAGGGGGGGAGGGGGGAGGGCTTCTTAGAGGAGGCTGCTTCTTAGAAGGCGCTGGCCTTGCATCTATAGGTAAGGCCCGCGCCTTCTAAGAAGCAGGGGTGCTTCAAAGAAGCCCTCCCCCAAACCCCCTTCTGCGCGTGGCTGAGTTCTGTTGATTTCGGCCCCTGGGGCCCTTTCTCTGGCCCAGGGGCGAGACGCACAACAGAGGTCATGCTGGTGCCGCGCCTTGAAAGCGCATATCTCGTCGGATGCCTGGGTTCTGGGTATCGGGTCGGTCGAGGGGGGGATAGGAACGGGGAGTGGATTGGCGAATCAGCTTACGTTTAGGTCGGGCATGTTCTTCTACAGGCGGATTTCGGACGCGATATTAAGAATAGTACAAAAGATAGATGTTCAAAAAATGATTCTAGATAATCAGAAAAATTGTCCCCTGAGTATTCGACTTTTCTTGAATACTCATCCTGTAGAGGGACGAGCCCGACTGAAGGATAGGCAAGGGGAGTGGATGGGCGAATCAGCTAACGTAGCTGCTAGACCCTGGCACCTCCCAGCACGGGGAGGCGTCTATTCATCCAGGAAGGCGCCTGGCGGCAGGGGCGAAACCAGCTTCGTGCAGAAGATCTCGTGACCCATCGATCCGATGGAACATCACACGTTTTGCTTACCTATCCTCCTCCTCCTCCTCCTCCTCCTCCTCCTCCTCCTCCTCCTCGTCCTCGTCCTCGTCCTCCTCCTCTTGAGCTGCTGAATCAAAAACCGTGCACCCCTGATGGTATAAGGAGGACTGCTGGCGACGAGTTTGTCGCAGCGAGTCCTGGCAAGAGCCACGAGTGCTCCTGCCGACCAGCCCGCGCATCCCTCTGGATGCGCGGCCCTCTTGCTTGCTTGCTTGCCTGCTTGCGGTCGAACATCCGCAGATGGAGCATCACACGTGTTTTTTATGGCTGCCGGTTGCCACGATAACAAAAAAGGTTTGATGTCCCACCTTTCCCTGACCCCTCCCCGTCCCTTTTCGTCGGGAGCGGCCAGGAGGGGGGTGTCCGAGAGGGGGGGTGCAAATCATGACCGGCGGCATGTGCGCGGCCCAGCGGGCCAAGGACGTAATGAAATACGGAGAGGCGCCATAAAATCTGGGGAAATATCATGGCCCCCGCCATGATATCCACCCCCCCTGGCCATCACCCCCCTCTTTGCCGCCGCCGACAGGGAAGGGGTCGAGTGCGAGGCGGGGATTCGTCCACACAGTCTTCGGCCTGACCTGGGGAGCGATAGACAAGGAGCGAACCCCCTTTTTGTTCCACGTCAGGCTGGAAGTCCGAAGGTAGGAAGGCACCAACTATACACCAACACCGATCCTGGCCAGGATCACCCTGGGCCCAGGATCGGTGTATACGCCCTCCTGCCTTGGGCAAGAAGGCATACGCACCGATCACGGGCCCAGGGTGATCCTGGGCCAGGATCGGTGTTGGGTGTATAGTTGGTGCCCTCCGAGAAGGAACACCAGGGGGGCCTCGCCGCCCAAAAAGGCAGCGGAACGCGTGCAGACCAAAGGAGCGACCGAGGCCCCTGCCGCCCCCGACTGCGGCCGGCCCGCCCGTGGAGGGGGCCGGGGCCGCTGCAGGAGCGGAGCTCTCTCCCGCCGCTCCCCCGCGCCGTGCACGGAGCGAGGGCGGCGCTCCCTCCTGCCACTGGTGGGCTGGGTTTCCACCACCACCACCACAGGTAGCCCTCCTCCTCCTCCTTCTCCTTCTCCTCCTCCTCCTCCTCCTCCTCCTCCTCCTCCTCATCTCCTTCTCCTCCTCCTACTCCTCCTCCTCATCCTCCTTCTTTGCCTCCTCCTCTCTCCTCCTCATTCTCCTCCTCCTCCTCCTCCCCCTCCTCTCTCCTATCCTCCTCCTCTCCTCACCTGCTCTCCTCCTCCTCCCCCTCCTCCTCCTCCCTTCCTCCTCCCCCTCTGCTTCTCCTGCCCCTCCTCCTCCTCCTCCTCCTCCTCCTCCTCCTCCTCCTCCTGCTCCTCCTCTTCGTCCTCCACCTCCTCCCCCCCTCTTACTTATGGTGGTGACAGTGGAAAGCAAGAAGAAGAAGCACGTGGTCCGCGCCTCGTCATCGCTCGGACGTCCATTCCCTGTGTATGGTTCGGTTTCGTGCGCAAAAATGCTCCTCGATGATCCTCGCCGAGGCAAAGATGCACACGTCCGCAGGATGCCATGGTGCGGACGTCTTGAATCGGCGCTGACACCCCCCCCCCACCCTGGAGCGCGAAGCGCGCCGAGGGGCCTGGCGCCGACCGAAGGGATCCACGCGGCTAAGTCCGATTGGGGCCCAAACCCAGCATCAGGAGGAGGAGGAGGAGGAGATCCAAAAGCTTACAGTGCGGGCGCGGTCGCAAGAAACCATCGCAAGACACCCAACCCTGAAAACCCGCGCGCGGAGTATTTACACCCGATGGGGAGACCCGGAGCACCCGGAGCGCAGCAGCTCCTTCACGGCCGCGGGAAGTCACTGCAGTCACTGCGCAGCGCGAGGATCGAAGAAACCCAGTGTGCCCTGTCGAAAAGCAGCTGGTTTCTTGATGCGCGCCGTCACTGTGTGCGTTTTTGCTCCTTCTCCTGCTTCTTCGAGCAGCGTTCGCTGCTGCTCGCCCGTCTCCGGTGGCGCCGAGCTCGAACCACGACGCCGACGCCGGGCAGTAGAGCTCCGCCAGCGCCGCGCTCCTGGGGGAGCCAACAGGCACCGATGCCACTGCTATGTTCGATGGGGAAATACAGGAGGGGCATTGGAGAAGGAACCCTTAGACAAGGGTCTGGAGGCCTGTGGAACTCCAATCGAGGCTTGGCCCTCATCAGATAAGGAATCCTCCAGGGTCTGCAGCCCCCTGGGCGCATTCCGTGACCAACGCCCCGACCGTACTCCGATCGGAGAAAATGCCCGGAGAGCCCCCGAGACAAGCCAAACAACACCCCTGCTGACTAATTGCGACAGGGCGATCTTCCCCGGACAACCCCTTGGACAACCCAGCGGGGATCTGGAGGACCCCCCGGAGAACCCCCCTCGGATAAGCCTCCCCTGGGTTCCCTTCATGAGATATACAGTGCGGGCGCGGCCACAAGAAACCCTGGCAAGAAACCCAACCCTGAAAAACCGCGCGCGAGGCTCACCTGAGCGGAAACACCCAGAGCCCCCCCCGGAACGCAGCAGGCCGCGGGAAGCCACCGCGCAGCGCGCGAAGATCGAAGACACCCGGGGTGCCCCGTCGAGAAGCAAGCTGGCTTCCTGACGCGCGCCTCCACAGTGCTGCTCCCCGGGAGTCGGGTGACGCGAGCCTCCCGGGATGTCAGGGCCCCAAGAGCCCGCACACGTCCCAAAGAACTGTCCATCTCGATGCTTGCCACGACTCGAGGGAGTTTGGGTTTAGCTCGGGCGCGTGTCCTCTTACAGGCGGAGGTCCGACGAGAAACAAAACATCCTCCAGACATACTCCCAGGAAAAGGCGAACACGTTAGGTGCTCAATCTGGGGACCTTCCTGGAGCCACTCGCTCCACTCGTGCGTCGAAGCTGCGTCGAACCTGAGTCGAACCTGAGTCGAACATGAGTCGAACCCGAGTCGAACCTGAGTCGAACCTGAGTCAAACCTGAGTCGAACAGATCCATTAGGTGGGCCCCAGGAAGGTCCCCAAAACGAGCATCGAAAACACGGGGCAAGGGCGGCGGCATCCGCAGCTCTTCCTCCTCCTGAGCGCCTGGCGCGCGGCACCAGCTCGTCCGCGGCGCCCGAGACGTGCAGCGAGTGCACGGCGAGGGGCTCGGCGCGGCCGCCGCCCGCGCGCAGCTGCGCCGCGCAGGCCGCGTCGCGCGGCACGAAGCCGCCCACCAGCACCGCGAAGCGCGCCCCCGCCAGCGGCCCGCCGCCGCCCGCGGCCGCCCGCCTCACGGAGGAACACAAGACGGCACGAACTGGAGGCCTGCCAAATGATAGGGAACCCACAAAGCACGTACGCGCCCAGCTATGTACATGAACACGGCCCCTCGATCCGCGAGACCAGCCGCGTGATACGAACACTTGTGCAATGCGTGCTCTCGAAACCAGCGTGGATTCATGTACATGTACTCCAGATCTCGTAATAAAGGGAGGGGGGTCAAATTTCGGGGGGGGGTCTCTTCCAGGCTATCTTGGAGGGCCTGGGGGGGTGGGGACGATGTTGGGAGGGTTCTCCCCGGGGGGGGGTCTGAAATGGCGTGTCTTGGAGGGTCCAGACCCCCTCCCTTTTATTACGAGATCTGGAGTACGCCCTTCTTTCGCTCCTGAAATGAGCGACGAAAAGAGAGGGATCTTACGCGAGACGGGCCTCACGCGGCGGCGCTCGCGGGCCGCCCGCGCGGCACGCCGCCCTTGGAGACGAGACGCTCCAGCGCGAGCATCTGCGGGCAGCTCGTGCGCAGATGCCGGTGGAGACGACCTCGTGTTCCTCGGTCGCTCTGATGGGGGTCCGAGTACTCCAGATTTCGTTATAAAAGGGAGGGGGTCTGGACCCTCCAAGACAAGCCATTTCAGACCCCCCCTCGTGGGAGAACCCTCCAAAACATCGTCCCCAGACCCCCCCAGGCCCTCCAAGATAGCTTGGAAGAGACCCCCCCCCGAAATGAGACCCCCCTCCCTTTATTACGAAATCTGGAGTAGATGTGGTCGGAGGATCGCGCCGCATCGCCGAATCATCGGCGATGCATCGGCGACGTGGGCAATGCATCGGCGACGTCGGCGTGGACAACATCGGGCTCCACATCCAGCCGCATCGCCGATGCATCGGCGATGCGGTGCCATCCTCTAACCCCGTCCACTCTGACCCAATCTCGGAGGCCTGGATGAACATAACCTCTTGAGGCTCCGCGCGGACTTCTTGGGATCGGCGCTGTACTTCCCTGGCGACGCCTCTGGTGTTGTCCCAGGCACGCTCCGCGCGCCAGGAGGAGCCCGGCGCAGATCCAGGAACTCCGCGCGAAGCTCCGACTGTTCACGTATGGTGAGCGTTTCTTGTTCGGCGCTTCGACATTGGGCGGAAAAGGAGAGGGGGGAGGGGGGGGGTCTGGCTCCAGACCTCTGCTTAATGCGACTGTTTGCAACAGTGTGTCCTATGGGGGAGACCCCCGCTTGCTTGAAACAGGCGCCCAAACCAGCCCAGATCTACTCCATGGTGGGGGCGGGGGGGGGGGGCGAGGGCCCGCGCCGATGGACAAAATAATGAATCAGAAAACGATCACATGATCATGCCAGTGTTTGTGCTTCGGCCTCAGCAGCGCGGTGGCCACCGCGCAGCCCTGGGAGAAGGCCAGCACGCCGTCGAACGAGCCCTGGCCCGCCTCGGGGACGCACCGACCCGGGCCTGAGCAAGCCCGGGCCGGTCGGGCCCTGCAGGATCCTGCAGCATCCTGCACCCGAGCCCAGGCCAATGGCACCCCTGGCCCTGCAGAATGCTGCAAGATCCACCGCTCTGACGGACCCCCGCTTGCCTGGACCCCCGTCCCTTGAGGAAGAGGAGGAGGAGGAGGAGGAGGAGGTGGAGGAGGAGGTGGAGGAGGAGGGAGGGAGGGAGGGAGGGAGGGAGGGAGGGACGGAGGGAGGGAGGGGGAGGGAGGGAGGAGGTGGAGGAGGAGGGAGGGAGAAAGGAGGGAGGGAGGGAGGGAAGAGGAGGAGGAGGAGGTACGCCCCGACCGCCTCCGCCGCCAGCGCCTCCGCGTCCCGCCCTGCGCTCTCGAGCCCCTCCTGCCAGCCGCTGCAGCTCGCGGACTGCGCGGGGCGCACCCGCTCCTGCGGCGCGCGCGGGCGGGGCCTGCCTACCAGACCACCCCAACCCAACCCGAAGACCCGAATTTCGGGTTGGGGGGGTACGGGTTCCATGTGTTTTTTCAACGTTCCCCGACCCCCCCCCACTGGAAATGGAGGGCAAATGGAGGCCTTCGGGTTGGGTTGGGGTGGTCTGGTAGGGGGTGAGGTGGGGCCCGGAGGGCTGGGACCCCCGGGGCGAGAAGCTCAGACGGTGGAGGTTCGACTTGTGTGATCCGCTTCGGCTCGGGGGCAAACAAGCCTACCTCGCTCTTGACCACCCTCGCTTCCAAGAGCCACCTGGCGATGCCAAGCTGCGGCACGCACTGGTCGGGCCACTCGACGGGGAGGCGCATGGCATGACCTGGTTTTGCCTGGAAGCGAAAGCGGGGCAGGTAATTCACGCTCCGATCGACTCCTTCTCAGGGGGAGTCGTACGACTCGGGCTCGGACGACTCGGGTCGGCCTGACGGGGCCCCCGGGAGAATGACGGGGACCGAGTCTGAGGTTTGACGGAGCCCTGCCGCAAGCACCTCAAGAAAACTGCACGGTCAAAAGTCAGGACGGGCCTGTCGAAAAGCGTCGGCAAGCCCGAGTTCTGGCGAACTCGAATGTTACGTCTCCCCGACCTCAGGGGCCCATTCCTCAGGGCCCCATCTTGGCGGCGCGCACGTGGGGATAGGGGGAGGGGGGGAAGCCTTCTTGGAAGGAGTCTGATTCTTACAAGGCGTCGGCCCTGCATCTATAGACTGGGCCCACGCCTTCTACGACACAGCATCCTTCTGAAAGCCTTCACCCCTTCGCCTATCACCTTGTGAGCGCTTTCTTTTTCGCCATTTCGACATTGGGCCCAAAAAGGGGGGAGGGGGGGGTCTGGCTCTGGACCTCTGCATAGCGCGACTGTTTGCAACCCTCCGTCCAGGGGGGGGGGAGACCCCACCTGCCTTGAAACAGGCGCCCAAAACAGCCAAGATCCATTACAGGAGGGGGGGGGAGGGGAGGGGAGGAGGAGGAGGAGGAGGAGGAGGAGGAGGAGGAGGAGGAGGAGGAGGAGGAGGAGGAGGAGGAGGAGGAGGAGGAGGAGGAGGAGGAGGAGGGAGGAGGAGGAGGAGGAGGAGGAGGAGGAGGAGAGGAGGAGGAGGAGGAGGAGGAGGAGGAGGGAGGAGGGGAGGAGGAGGAGGAGGAGGAGGAGGAGGAGGAGGAGGTGAGGGGGAGGGGGAGGGGAGGGGGAGGGAGGAGGAGGAGGAGCAGGAGCAGGAGGAGAGGAGGAGGAGGAGGAGCAGGAGGAGGAGAAGGAGGATGAGGAGGATGTAGCCTCTCACCTCAATGCTTGCACCACTCATATTGGATGCCTCGCGCTGGAAGGGTCTGCCGAGGTTTCGCCTGGAGCCCGCCCGTGGGCGCCTCGTGGATGCCCTGACAGCCTGCCCGATAGCTGCGCCACGTGGCGCGGGCCCGCGCCGATCGGCAGGACAACGGATAAGCAAACGATCGCCTCCTGCGCGTGGCCGATCCCGCTTCAGCCGCCGGCTCCTGCCCCGCCGCCCGCTGGGCATTCTCCCCCGCGTGCCACCAGCCCCGCGGCCCGGCGCCCCCGGCACCAGAGCCGCCGCCGCCGCCCGCGCCGAGCTCCTCCCCGGATCTCCGACGGTGTGCTTTGTGGATGAGCCCATTTTCCACCACCACTACCACATGTAGGAGGAGGAGGAGGAGGAGGAGGAGGAGGAGGAGGCGGAGGAGGAGGAGGAGGAGGAGCTCCTCATCCTCCCTTGTCCCCCGTCCTGCATATGGCAGCGGTGGTGGAAGACTGGCCCGTCACCCAGATCTCCGAAGGCAGGAATTGCGCAGCCTGGGCGCCTTTCCTCCAACTCGGCCTCTGGGGTCCGTGGTCGGGAGCACTGGGATCGGCGCAGGGGTTCTGAGGGGATCGGGGTGCCATGGATGGATGCCCAGATGGCTTCGGGAGGTTAGCGATTCGGGCGAAGCGAGCCCCGCCCACTTAGCGCAGCCATCCACCCCCCCGAAGCCACTTGGGGCATGTGCACCCCACTTGTACCCGTCGGTCGGAGGAAATGAGTAGAAACATGAAGCAAGAAGGCGTTCAGGTAGATCGGGCTTCCGCGCGCTCCCTGAAGAGGAGGAAAGTGGAAAAACCGCTCGACTCTTGAAGTAGGAAGGCGCCTAAAGTAGTTTGGGATCTGGGGATCCTGAGACAGAGTTTCTACGACTGGCCAGTAGCCTGTGGGCCAGATATTACCCCGCCTCCGTGGCATCAACTTATAGCCCACCCCCATCTCCGTAGCAGCCCCCGCGCCCATCCCAGTGGTCGGGCCCCACGACCATCAACCAACAAATACGAGGCGAAAAACTTGCCCCTAGGATGGGGTCAGGACGGTTGGACTGGCAATGAGGAAGAGGAGGAGGAGGAGGAGGAAGCCACATTGGACCTGACGTGGGGTCAGGACCTTTGGCATCGCGTCGAGCTCCTCCGCGTTGTCGTCCGAGAACGCCCCCTCGGCTGAGTGGGGGGCCTCCGCGAACCAGAACTCGCAGCCCTTCTATCTGGACGCCCGAAATAGGTATCAAGAAATAGGTACACGACACAAAATGTTGCCCAAAACCGACAGCGACCGCTGTTGGACGGGTGGCTTCGTGTCTTCGAGGCACAACGGCCGCGGCGGCGCGGACAGGGCGTCCTCTTCAAAATGCACGGGAACCACTGTCGGTCGTTGCACCAAATCTTTCCGCACCCATCTCGATCGCCCAGATTCCATATCGGGGGCGGCCAAGAGGGGGGTGTCCAAGAGGGGGGGGGTGCAAATCATGACCGGCGGCATGTCCGCGGCCCAGCGGGGGGGCCAGGGACGTAATGAAACGAGAAGAGGCGCCATGAGATCTGGGGAAATATCATGGCCCCCGCCATGATATCCCCCCCCCCCCCAGTCACCACCCCCCTCTTTGCCGCCGCCCCCGATCCATAGACGAGGCCGGGGGCGGGGCAAGAACTGGCCAGGACAGGTCGGGGGCCTCTGCCTCTGAGGTCCGGCGGCTCCGGAGGATGCGCTGGGCGCACGCAGCCGTCCACGGGCGCCCCGGAACGCTCCAGCAGCGCTCCGGGGCGCTCTGGAGCGATTCCCTCCGGCCCTCGCCCCGCCCGTGGGGGGAGCACTTATCTATACTGATCGCGGGGGTGCTTGCCAACCAGGGCTTCGAGGCGATAGCAGCCGTGGCGACGAGGGAAGCGTACTGCATCGGCGTGTATAATATATATATATATATATATATATATATATGTATATATATATATGTATGTCTATATGAACAAATGTGTACATATAAAGAAAAAGAGAGAGAGAGAGAGAGAGAGAGAGCGAGAGAGAGAGAGAGAGAAAAACAAAAAACAAAAAAAACTCCACCCCTGCGCCCGACCTTCATCGCCCGCCGCAGGGAGCCGGTCTTCTTGCGGAACACCTCCGCGTTCTGGCAGAAGCCGTGCAGGCACAGCACGTGCAGGGCGCGGCCGCGTGCTGGCTTCGCCTCCGTTGCCGCGGGCGGGCGGGCGGCGGGCGAGGTGGCCGCCCGCGCGGGCGCCGAGCGGCTGCCGACAGCGACCGCCAGCGCTGCGCCTGTGCGGGCGGAGCCGCGCGGCAGCATGGCGCAGGCGAGCTCGTCAAACTGCATGGCTGCGCTGGCCAGCAGAGCCAGCGGCAGCAGCAGGAGCATGCGCAGCGCTGGGGCTGAACGAGCCGTGAGCAGCCCTCGCTGCTGCCGCTGCTGCTGATGCTGCTGCTAATGCTGCTGCGGCTTCTGCTGCTGCGGCTGCTGCTGTTGCTGCTGCTAATGCTAATGCTGCTGCTGCGAATGCTACTACAAATGTTGCTGCTGCTGCTCCTGCTACTACTCCGACGGTAACTACGACTGCAACTACAATAACTATAACTCCGACTGCTACTACTGCGACTACGACTGCGACTTTCATTAATACTAAGAGGACTGCAACGACAATACGACTGCGATGGAGACTACGCCTACTACTACTACTACTACTACTACTACTACTACTACTACTACTACTACTACTACTACTACTACTACTACTACCACAACTACCACTACTACTACTATTACCACTACTACCACTACTACTACTACTACTACTACTACTACTACTACTACTACTACTACTACTACTACTACTACTACTACTACTACTACGCCTTCTACTACTACTAC